AGCTCAAGACGACACATGACCTGGGCTTCATGATCTTTCCCTGGGCACGACCCGCGTGGGAGCTCTCGGGTGACCGCAGATCCTTCGAGACGGCTTTAACGGCAGCTAGGTCGCTGTATAGCCGATTTGACGCCACCGTGGGATCCATCCGGTCGTGGGACATCTGTGTAACGAAGCGATACAAGTTCCTGGACCCGAGTAAAGACTTTCTCGTGATCATTGTAAGCACCACCTCGCGACTATCGTCAACACTCTGTGAATTGTATTATTAAACGGAAGCCAGGACAACATGATGAACCTCGACGTGATCTTCTGGGCTGCTTCCCAGCTTGGAGACGATGACATGTGGAACGCGGCTGTCAAGCACGCCGAAACGACGAGGGAGCACCACATTCGCCCGGACTCTTCCACCTTCCACGTTGTCAACTTTGACCAGGCGACCGGCGTGCCAAAGGAAAAGATTACAAATCAGGGATATTCTGACACGTCCTCATGGTCGAGGGGACAGGCGTGGGCTGTCGCCGGATTCGCGCAGACTTATGGCTGGACACGGGACACATCTTTCCTCGATACAGCCATCTCTTGTGCGGACTATTTTCTTGAGCAGCTCCCTTCGAGCGGGATCCCGCCGTGGGACTTTGCTGCGCCCAAAGACATGGCACAACCTCCGGATGTCAGTGCCTCCATGATTGCGGCGTATGGCATGTTGCTCATTCACGAGGCTCTGACGGCGCTTGGAAGGCCATCAACGTACCTGAGAAGCGCCATCGGTCTCACTCGCGCTACCTGTAACAACCACATCAATAGTGGCGGATTCTATGTGAAGTCTCAAAGGTCGATCGATACGGTCGAGCACGGTACGGTGGTTGAAGAAGTAGGTTGGGAAGTGGAAATGGGGGACGAGCCGGAGACCATATTGAATGGGGCAACCATCAACAACTACGAATTTGCGCCGCGAAGGTGGGCAAACCACGGACTGGTGTATGCTGACTACTTCTTTCTGCTGGTGGGGAACAAGCTTCTGGAAATGGGCGTCCCAGAGTTGTTAGACGAGAACCGGTCTTGAGCATTTGAACGCGGAGAATGACTGAAGTAGGTTTAGAGAGTCTTGTCTGATGAATTATTCGTAAATGATGTAAATATGCATCTTTAAGTCTGAGCTTATAGAGCCAATGGATTATGTTTATCGTCATCATTTGCGTTAACTACTCTTTCTCTGCTGCCCCCGAGAACATACTGATTCGCTGGTTCGGCAAGAAGGAGTAGTCCAAGTAAGCGTTGAGATCCTCAAAATCTCCAACTGGGTGATGTATGTTGTCATGGTTATTTACAACGCAGACGTCGAAGTGATCGTATCCATTCGCGTGGCTTGGCATTATCGCACCGCCAGGCGCTGGTGACGGCATGGCCGTCGGGCCTCTGCTCGTACTTTGCGCATGGAACGCTATCGGAAGCGGAGGAAATGCCAGAGATATACTGTCAGGGGATGCCTCTTGTTCAAAGTCCATGGTAGACGTTCCAAGGCCGCCGACAAAGGACTCTTGGCCGGTGCCTTGACTCGGCGAGAATGCAATATCTCGATGATTCGATCTAACACGAGACACCCCAGGTGTCCTTGGGTTATCTCCAGTCGGCAGGGAGATTGTGTCTGGACGGGCATCATCCGAGTAGACTGCCTGCCGTATGTCGAGCATTCCCCTGCCCTGATGCCGCGCTTGAACCAGCCGGCCGGCAAATTTGGATGCTAGGTTGTCGGACACATCGCCAAGACCGTTCCATCTTTGAGCTATGATGTTAAGACTGTTTACTAGTGAATCAAAGCCATCCGGAAGAGCAACGTTGTAGTAGGTTGAATGGGCCAGAAACATTCGTCCACAGATGAAGAGGCAAAACGCGAATTGTGGGCTGATGACTTGCTGCGAATCTTGTAGAAATTTCTCTGCAATGATAGCCACCTCTGTTGCGGCAGCCATGCACGTTTCGGCACTAGATGCTGAAGGTAGTCGTATTCCAGTAGCTTGCCATTCGGGCAACGGATAGGCGACGCCCTGATGAAGCAGCACTACGCTCGAATTGTGCGTCAGGTGAGCGAGAGTGAGATTGGGGTCCATGATGCCGTCCACGTTGAGAACGCATGCCTCCCGCCACTGTTCGGGAAGGAATATTTTCCACCTGTAGGGTGTCAGTGTCTCTCTCGAAATCATTGATTACTGGAAGACTCACTGTACGAGACGCAAGTCAAGTTGTTTGAACTTCATCAACCAGACTTGAATCTCGTGTGGCTTGGAGACATCAATAGCTTGCTGAAGAAAGAAGGACGTCACCAGACTAAGACTCTCGGTGGCTTCGATGCAATACGCAAAACCTCCGAGTGAATCCTGAGCTGCCTCTTCTAAACGCGCGGTAGGAAGGGTTCCACTGGAACCGCTGGACTGATCAGCTACACCGAAATATGGTGTTGGGGTTTGGAGCGGTTCTCCATTCTCCCAAAGCGCCCCTTCGCAGGGTAGACGTCGTTTCACGTCCGCGCTGGTGAGAGAAAAGTTCCAACCTGTTGCGACACTGCAGAACCTGTCCATCAGAAAGATATTCCAGAAAACTCGACGCCTCTCTTCTCGTTCGCTCCAGCTTCGACATAGCGGCAGGAATGCCATACGCTTTATGAGATGCTTCGCAGCCGGTGGTTGGTCTTCGTCTTCGACACTGAGCTGTAGCTGCTCAACTGTTCGGGTCATGCTACCAACGATAGACTAGAAACACGTAAGTATGGACGAAATGTGAGGCGACGTGCCACTAACCCAAGCGGATGGACCTCTGCCACTGCCATTCTGTGTTCATTGATCAGCTAAGTTATTTGAACTTAACTTGAATACATATTCGGGACTGTACTCACGGTGTCAAAAGCAATTATTGTCAGAGCTTGAAGATTCTCCACTGAGAAGGACTCCATGCTGTTCAGTATCACAAATTGCCGACATCTTCGTGCCCTGCGTGTCTTTTCCTCATGCAGTCCTAGGCGGGGATCTTGGGAGAACCTTGCGCACAAAGAAACTATGGCATGAAAGATGGTGTTGAGATGGGGACGTTGGGCTGGGTCCTGCATCCTCTCCCGAAATTGGCGCACGTGAAGCATAGGAATCCAGGGGTGAATATTGGAAAAGTAAATATCGACAAGAGCGTCCATGAGGTCCAGCTCTGGCAGTAGGTCTGCTTCGGTCATGGGATCGAAATTGAGACTTGTTCGCGCTGGCTTTTCCGTCGCCTTTCCCGGAGTGGCAGTGTCTTTCGTCGGAATGGTTGCAAGTGTTGTCAACGCAGGCTCTCCACCTTCGGCCAGGGTTGCGAGAGTGTTTTTGAGCGCAGTCGTTCTCTCGTTGAGCGACACATTCGAAGAGTCGTCTTGGCTCGGACTGGGGGCATTACGGCTGGCTGCCGAATTCAAGCAGTTGAAGACCTGTTGCCACAGGACTCCTTGACCTAGGAACATGTTTTCGAGCGTGGCTTTAAGCAGATATCAGCTTCATGATAACATTTTCAAAGACTCGCCAGACGCATACCGACTCTCTGGCTGAGGTTCTCAACGGCACCAGTGCGCAGTCCCGGTTTTGATCTTCTGTCATCGTATACACATTCTACATCTGGATATGGAATTAGGTAAGCTCCTCATTGGCGTCAGAGCAGAGACTGACTGTATCGTACACATGCCGAGCAAGGCTGCCGCCTTGAGCATCTAGCCTTCTTCTTTCGACAGGATTGACAGCTTAAGACGTCGTATCAGCATGAATTGGTCGATTGCGCCGTGGTCAATTCGGGAAGTATCTCACGCGGGGCCTTCAGTATCCACGCCATTCGCTTGCGCACTTGAGTTTGTCCGCCTCTTCTTGGGTCGGGGCTGGCTGTCTTCCTCGCCGCCTGAGCGACCGGACAGCGCCTCGTCGTCGTCTTCGAAGACCATCGCGCATACAGGAACTGCAGAAGGAGAAAAAAAAATCAAGAATGAGGAGGGAAATTGAAGGATGCAACGACGGGAATTTCCTTCCCTCACATTCTTTTCCAGATCATGGCAGGAGCTATCTAACTGATTCGTCCATCTCCCGTCACTATCCAAACCAAGCGAAGGCGCCGCTGTCGCAAGCCACTTTTGGGGATCATGTCGGGGTAAGACCTGAACGTGGAGAAGGTGCATGCGGGGAAGAACTAGGCATCCCTCACAATAACATGCCACTGGACCGCTAAAAGAAGCCACTATGGAGGGGATCCTTGACTGCGAGCCTGTTGATCGTCGCTGTAACCGTTACTTTTCCTCGTCTGAACGCTTCTGAGACTGTAATACTACAGCCGTAGAGGCCGGATGAACGACTTGACCATGAGCATTTGAGGGGTTGAAAGAGACATCATATTCTTAGATCTTGACTCTAGCTTCACATGGCATGAATTGTCCTTATTCAGATCAAATTTTCTCACTTAATGCTCATGGTAGTAACAGCAATTGGCCGGGAGTCAACATAGGCGCGAGGTATGGAAGATGCCTCCTTAAAAATACGGATAAGCAAGTAATCTCGACAACCTCGGATAGTCAAAATGACAAGAGGAGGCCGGGGAGCTTAGCGTAACCCCGAATCTTGATCTGTCTAGTCTCAATCAGAGCCTTCTGCTGTTACACTAATGCACAGTAACGCCCCCGCTGACGATCTGCCCGCCGACCCCAGCTCCGGGCGCGGGCGAGGTCCCGGAGACTGCCCCGAGCAGACATTCCGCCCGCAACATTTGCCCCGGATCACCATCAGTCCACGTTTTTGTTCCCTAGGAGCGTCTCTGACTCCGTCGTTCCGGGCTCGTGAAAGCTGGGGTCCCCAGAGTTTCAATATTGGTTGCATATAGAGGCTTACAATCCAGGGAAATCCGGGGTAAGCCATGAGACAATATCAAGCAGCCTCAGTTACAATAGGTCTGAAGAAGAACAACTCCATTGCACTGCAGCAACCTGAGCGCCGTACATCATGAAGCAGGGTCATACCGATAAGGAAACTGGCGACAATGCCATCGCGCCGGCACCTTCTCATGTGGCTTATGAGCACCAGGAGGGAGACAAGTCGGTGAGTTTACTCCTTCAGTATCGCAGAACCATGGCTCAGTCGTAGAAGGGGAGGGTTGAAGGTGACGTAGGGGTTGGGGAGCTTTCGACTACCATGTATTTCATATGGAGATAGCATTCGGCTAATACACCCCACAGGCCAACGGATATGCTGATGCTCAAGCGATCTATGTTGACGACAAGACAAGCAAGGAGCTTTTCTGGACAGTTAACAGACGAATCCTGGCTTGTATGCTGGGCACATACTTCTGCCAGTCCCTCGACAAAGGCACCCTTGGCTTTGCCTCCATCATGAACATCAAACAAGATGCCAACCTCGTGGGCCAACAGTTCAGGTAAAGCAATACCTTCTATCCGTAACCGGGAAAAGAAGGTTTCGAAGAGCAACAGCTTACTTTCTGTTGAATAGCTGGCTCGGAACCATTCTGTATATGGGTGTTCTCGTTGGAGAGTACCCGACCAATTTGCTTCTGCAGAAACTCCCCGTCGCAAAATATCTCGCCGCCAATGTTTTCTGCTGGGGCATTGTAATTGCATGCTCGGCTGCCGCCAAGAACTTCACAGCCTTGATGATTGTCAGATTCCTGCTCGGAGTATTTGAGTCTTGCGTCCAGCCGGCTTTCATCATCATGTTTGTCAACCCTAGCCGCCTGAATGGTAGACAATCCTGCTGACACAAAACTTATAGGACTTCAATGTGGGCATGTAGTTACCCTGTCTCTAGCTCCAGTATTCCCCCTGTCTTGCTAACAAAGAAACTGCAATTCAGTACACAAAAAGAGAACAGTCAATTCTGACTTCCCTGTGGTACTGTATGAGCGGAGTCCAACTAATGGCACGTCTACATCCTTCCAAAGGCCTGAAGCCTCCACAACACTCGACTAACACAAGCAACGTAGATCGGTGGCATCATCGCCTGGGGAGCCTCTCACTACAATGGTCATGAGATCAAGTCATGGCAGCTTTTGTTCCTCGTCCTTGGCGTGGCGACCTGCGCCTGGGGCCTCTTCATCGGCTGGTGGCTGCCCGACTCGCCCATGGCGGCCAAGTGCTTCAACGAGGACCAGAAGCGCCTCATGGTTGAGCGTGTGCGGGCCAACGAGACGGGCATTCAGAACAAGACGTACAAGCGCTACCAGATGATCGAGACCGTCACCGACCCCGTCGTGTGGTGCTACGTCATGCTTCAGGTCACTTCCACCCTCATCATTGGCGGGCTTGGCGTCTTCTCCAACCTCATCATCTCCTCGTTCGGATTCACGTACCTGCAGACGCAGCTCTTGAACATTGCACAGGGTGCCGTCACCATCATTGTCATGGTTGGCAGCGCGACCTTGGCTACTTGGTCGAGGCAGACTGCCTGGGTCATGCATGTGAGTAAAAGCCAAGAACTACTCACTGTAAAGAGACGAAGCTAACCCTTCTCGCATGCAGGGATGCACAATGTTAGTAAACAACCGTTCGAAAGGAAATACGACGCAATATGCTAACATCTAGAATAAAGTCCCGCCATCATCGGCACAGCCATCATCTACAGCATCCCACCCAGCACTAGCAATCGCATCGGTCTCCTCATCGCCTTCTACTGCACCCAATTCTACCTGGCCGAGGGCAACCTCATCTTCTCCCTCATCTCGCGCAACGTCGCGGGCCAGACCAAGAAGTCGACGACGCTGGCCATGACCTTCATCGGCTGGGCCGCGGGTAACATGACGGCGCCCCAAATCTTCCAGGCCGCCGACGCCCCCCGCTACCGCAAGGGCTTCACGGCTCATTTCTGCCTCTACGTCCTCTTCAACATCTTCCTCGTCCTCCTGCGCTTCCTCCTCGTCCGTCGCAATATGGCCAAGCGCAAGGCCGCTGCTGCCGCGGACCCGGCGAGCATGGCGGCCGAGGAAGTTGAACAGGACGTCGGCAAGGCCGGGGCTGTCGGGGCTAGTGACGAGAAAATTGAGCACTCGAACGCGTTTGCTGATATGACGGATAAGGAGAACCCTGACTTCAGATATGACTTCTGAGCAGTGTATCTAGGCTTGAGTGATCTGGCCTTACATCGGCCTTATTTCCGGATGGCATGGTGCAGTTCAGGAGAATACCGTAAGGTGCGTGGTTCGAGACGTAAAAGCGTGTGGAGGTGGGTGATTTGCCATTCAATATATAACTCTCATTTCTACTACTGCTACGATAGCCATGTTGGCTTTCTCATTAGCTTAAGGTATTTCGCTCTCTATTTGTTTTTTTTATTCTGCCTTTGCTGGTTGCTCGGGCGGTTCTCGATATCGATTACACAGTATTAATACACAGTATCAATGGATACTCCCACTATCTCGATAGACTATTTTTTTTTAGATTTTCTAACTTTTCAACTTTCCCTCCTGCAAAGTTCACAACCACGATTTCGCTCTCTATATTTCCTCAAATACCATACTTTGAGAGGTTTTGTAATGAGACAACTGATGTAGTAATTATAAGGACGACGATTGTGTGTTGACACGGGGCAGACAACGCTGGCATTGCGGACTTGATGCTCAGTGTTTAATATTATTCACCCAGTTAGATAAATTACAAAATAGCCATATCTATCTACATCCAATGCAACTCGTAGTTGAAGCGCCACAAGCCGTTGAAATGTCTCACCATCGGTTCCCGCTTTTTGCGCCTCATCACACCCCTGTCTCGTGTCAGTTGCCCTTAGTCGAGAAAATATCGCGGCCCTCCACACCTCACCCACGAACTTGAGTACAATTTGCGCCACAGCTCACATCCAAGGACATCCACTTGGGATACGATCTGCCCTGATGGTCTAGCGGTATGATTCTCCCTTAGGGTCTTCACGACATATCTGGGAGAGGTCCCAGGTTCGAATCCTGGTTAGGGCCCAATCCTTTTGCCGATTTGAGAACGATGCTTTTTGTAGTGACGGAAATCGAAGAGAGGGCATTTGGGACAATTTTGGCAACGTTGTGGTTGTCGGTGTGTGACCGGAAGTGGTACGTGCGCATGCAGTTGTTGACTTTTGAACTCCTTTCCCCCTGGATTTCTTCGGATTATCGGATTACATCTGAGTCTTGTTTGCTTATCATCTAAGCACAACGTATCGAAGTGCCGGGCTGCGCCGCTGAAGAACATGAAGATTTCCCAGTTTCAGGGCGCGGTGATAATCTGAGGTGTTGGTTGTATAGATCGGCATTCTCAGCTCGCTGCACAACTTGCGTCTCATCTATCCATGCTGCCTCAAGAACCACGGGGAATATGATCGCCTGGTAGCGAACCGTGCCATCGAAACACTCCGGAACAATCAACAAACAAAGACCACAAACCCGAGAATCAGAGGCATTTCAATTGACGAATGCAAGTACCGGCTCAGAAGTTGCCGGATAATGAAAGTGGAAATAGAACTGCACGCTGTTTCCAGGCTCGTCGTGCGCACGTTTCCTGTTGATTGCACCATGAATCGAAAATGAAATACCAGACGACGCAAAAACGGAACGGAACGGCATCGCACCGCAGGATGGACGAAACGACAGGCATCGAACATCCACGGCAATGCTTTCCACTCGGATAGCACGCCTTCTCAGTGGGTGGAACCCGGGCTCTTTTGTCGAAAGGCCAACAAGACCAGACTGTCTGAGGTCTGCACTGTCCCTCGTTCAAAGGGTTGGGGAGTTCTCTCTTGACAGGTCTGGGCGTCCAAACCAGCGGGAATTCTGAAGAAGAAAAGTCCGAGAGTTCTTCCATGCAATCCAGAGGTGCATTGCGGGTATACGTTGATATGTTAGGGATGCATATGCAGTCTCTATACTACATACGCATACAGAAATGCGTCAAGAGACAGAGCCTCATAACGGATGCTCTAGGCAATCATTCATATGAAAATGGTAATTCGACACTGATTATGGTTATCAAACTCTGATGAAAGACAGAGGAAAGAAAATAAAGGGAGGGTCCGAGTCGCTAGCGCCCCAAGATCCCTGGCGTCGTTCCCGAGGAACCACACCTGTCTGTTCACAAGCACCGGCGACCACCAGTCTTTTTAGTCGCACATCTCCGGATTACCTTATCACGGAAAGCGTTGGTGGGGAAGCGTTGAAGCGCCAGACATGGTTCGGCAGGTGAGCCAAGAGGCTGGAAATTGGGCGGTAATGTGGTGCCACCGTACCACCGTACCACCGCAGTCTTGAGTCTATGAAAAAGGCGAGACCATCGGGCTGAAATCTGACGGGATCGTGCCACGACGAGGGGAAGGGGGGCTCCTGTCAAATTCGGATTTCGCTGGCAGGGAGGGCTCATAGCCTCGGGCGGCGGGCCTGAAAGTGAGGTGTACACGGTAAGGGTAGGATCCTGAATCGGTAGAGTGCTCCGCGGTGCCCGGAGCTTACCTTGAGCAGCATGCTTTCGTACGAGTGCCAAGTGGGAGCCGGCCGACCTATCCTTTGCACAGGACATCTATCCGTAGTATACTCCGTACTCCGGAAGATAATTATCACTACGTAGTAGTAACGACTGTATTCGAACTCTGTACGGAGTAAGTTGTCGGGCTAGCCGGCACAGACTGTGGACACAAGAGGCCGTCGACGCGTGTTATAGTGGTATTCGCTATCGAGGGTTGTGACATGTCTCGCGTTGCCGCGTCCACTTGGTGAGCATTTGAGCTCTTGGGGTGGTTCCTGAATTCGTCCCCTGTTTGATGATGTAAGTCGAGGAGGCTTGAGTGTCTCGAGGTCTTGGGAGGACAAACCGTTGGGCCGCTGAAGTAAGCGTAACAGTAAGGTGCTTTTTCCGCAAGGTACCTGAGTGTGGCAGGCATGAGCCATGCTTCACCACGTGAAGATGGAAGGGAAGAAAATGCTGCGTAATGTAGCGTTCCAGCGTATGGTTGGTGGGTGGTGACTTCTCTCAGCGTTCCAACCTGCAAGTTCTCTGGGTGTCTGGCAAGGGCCAAGCAAGGGCCAAGCCAGGTACCGAAAAGTGACCAAGCCTCCAAGGAAGGTACGCGCAGCCCTAAGCCATTGGCTCAAACGGACGACCACCCCAATCTGGCGACTCTTGGACGATTCTGGTGTTGTGATTGGCCACGATCCCAGTCACCAGCGCCTGCACGGCTTCTCGATTGGTGCGTGCCACAGCCGCCTGCATGAGGACGCCCCTCGATCCTGAAACGCAGTCCGTCAGGGAGTCGGATTCATCGCGACCTCCCTCAGCCCTCTTCTCCCCCCTTCACAGTTTCTTCTCTGCTGTTGTCTCGACCTCTTCACACGGCTCCCTCTTGCTGGCTCACTGGGGGCAACAAGGCCCCCAAGGCACAGTGTGGACGAGCAATGGGCTGGTCCCAAGGTGTTTCTGGTGCGTTTCTCATCCTCGCGTCTGCTGTTCGAGCCTTCCAAGACGGACGAGGGGCCCTGACCGCCCGCCAATAAGGTACCTAAGGTAAGACTAATGTACGGATACGTAACCAAGTAACCGCTCTCTCTCGAGTAGTCTCGAGTCTCGATACAGCGCCCCCTCGCCTGACTGATTGAATCTGGCGATTCTCCTCTGGGGTCTCCCTTGCCTGCGCAGGTCTCGTCCGAGACAGTATTGTGGACCCCCCTTACCGGCTGCTCTCCCGCTCCACCGCCCACGTCCCATTCTCCCATGGACCCAGTGGAGAGAGAGACTCAGACCTCGTCTCTGTTGCACTACGAGGCATCTCTTCTCCTCTCCTCCCACTCCTCAGTGCTGTAGTCGTGGTTTTTCATCTGGAGGGTGATTTTCGGTCCATCTTCACCTTCTTCTGTACAATCGTTCACTCCAACCTTATTCCCTTCTTCGCGACGGCTTCGTCGACTTCTCTCTTTTCAAAAACCCTTCCTTCTCGTGTGCTCGTCCCCGCTGGGTGGTGGAGGTTCCGTTACATTTTTGCTGGTCGAAGACAGTCCTTACCCACCGACACCAGCGATACCGACGACACCGACGAACGCATACCCGCCGATTTTTTCCCTATCGATCACCAAATTCTAGACACACAGAGACGCCGGACGTCAAAATCAAACATCAATCTCTAAATCGCAAAATCTAAAAACTATTTCCAACAAAGAGGAGGATTCTTCGGAAGAAAAAAGAGGAGGAATTGCAGCACGAAGGAGCAGCCAAGTCTCTCCGAGCGACATCTTGGTTCTCGGGTCTCTAGGCTGCTCGGTTTCATCGAAAAGCTTCAGCCATGGCGAACAAAGTGCTCATGACCTTCGTGGTCGCCGACATCGTCTTCGTCATCACCGGCGCTCTGCTTCTGGGTTTCACCCTCATCAACCAGAACCTCATCAAGGAGGCGCCCACGGAAGGAACCGAGGCTGTTATGCGCTTGCTCACAGCTCAATTCCCACTGACAGGTACGACGACGATCCAAGAGGATGTCACTTACGTGACGGAAGTGGGCAAGGGAACATATCGAACATCGTGACTGACTTGACTTATAGCCGGTATTGCCAATGCCGTTTTCATCTTCGTCACCTTCCTCTCCACCATCCCCGGCATGATCACGCCGACTCGTGGCTGGCTCAAGATCTCGGGCTACCTGACCACCTTCTGCGGTCTCTTCAGTCTGATTCTTGGTGTTTACCTCTGGGTTCTCACTCTCACCACCAAGAACGACTTTGGCAAGACGTGGAACGTCCAGGACCCTCGTGTTCAGGAGCTCATGCAGACTGCTGTAAGTGACCTTTCTTCTACTCTCAAGTATCGTCACCAATGATTGACGCTCGACATCAGTTCAAATGCTGCGGATACTTCAACAGCACTTCGCCCGCCTTCGTCACCGACGCTCAGTGCCCGAGTCCCGCCGCCGCCGCCCTGCAACGCGGCTGCGCAACCCCGATTACGAGTTTCGCCAACATCTTCGTCGACAACATCTTCACTGCCGTCTTCGGTATGGTCGGTATCGACGCCATGCTCATTGTCACTATCGCCATGCTGCTCAAGGATCGCAAGGAGCGCGAACGTTACCGCCACATTGACGAGAAGGCTGGTTACCGCGGTTTCT